CGTCTGTCCGTCCGTCTGTCCGTCCGTCTGTCCGTTCGTCTGTCCGTCCGTCTGTCCGTCCGTCTGTCTGTCCGTCCGTCCGTCGTCCGTCCGTCCGTCTGTGCGTCAGTGAACAACTCTAGCATTAAGCGTTCAGCCGATGTTCTCTAAATATTGTGTCTTGTTTGATAGGATCCCACAATCTATAACCTCTAATTTCATTTGAGTAACCTACTAATATGCATTCTCGTGCCCTTGCATCTAATTTACTTCCACCTTGCCTTGGAAAACGACATAAGCTAAACAACCAAATACCTTTAAATGTTTCACACTTGGCTTTTTCCAGTCCATATTTCATCTGGCACATCATCTTTAATTGCACTACCTCTGTTTTTTACATAACAAGTTGTTGCTACTGCTTCTGCCCGAAACCTTCCACGAAGTTTGGAAGATTTCAACATGGCTCGAGCAGACTCTATCAATGTGCAATTTAACCATTCTGCAATTCCCTTCATTTGCGGTGTTTCGACATTTGTTCTCTCATGCGTAATTAAGGCCTGTCACAGATAATTTTAAAATCTTTACCACAAGGAGAGTGAGTATAAAATATTGACTTTTTAAAAATATATACTACAAAAGAGTACTGCTAAATTAAGTTAAAATAAAAAAGTAAAATGGGAATAGTGAATATCCCACATTTTTGTTAGAAAGAAAATTTGAGAATACAGTTCTAATGGAACCTCTTTCCGAAATATCAGGCCATTTTATTAAATTTTTTACCAAGTCTGCATGCTAAAAATATAGGTGAATACATTTTAAAAGAACTGCGTGAAACCGTAACAAATTTAAGATTGGTGTGTAAAGTATTCATGGATAAGAATATTGTTGAATTAAACTTTTTTCAATATTAAAGACTGGTCTATTCTATAGACTACAGATATTATATAAATGGATTATTATATTTTTAAACTACTTTATTTAAACTTACTCTCATTGTGATACATATTTTAAAATATCCTTAATCGAAACTGCAGACAATCTGAATTCGTGTGTTTTTAGGTCTCAACATCTAAAGATGGTATACATCTCCAATATTTTCGAAAATTTATTTAAATATATAATATAATGGCTTGAAAACCACCACAGTATGAAAGGGTTTTTATGATAAGTATTCGCATGTATACTTTTGGTAGAGTTTTGCATTACTTAATGATTGCATTCAATTATTTTCATTCATGATGTGAATAAATTGTTAATTTTTATATTTAAGTAGCAATTTTTTTTAGAGCTGTAGGTGCAAACCCATTCTACTGTGATTGTTCCCTGAAATGGCTGGCTGATTGGGTGAAGAGAGACTATGTAGAACCTGGAACGGCACGATGTGCAGAACCACATAACATGCGAGATAAATTGCTACTAACTACACCTGCGTCAGCTTTTGTATGTAAAGGTAAGCATCACAAATATTTACCAGTTTAAGTGTGGATCTTGTGTTTCAAGTGAATAGTATTTTAAAATTTTGTTTACACCGTGTTGTACCGTTTTGCCGACTGTCGACTGGGCTGGACGTCGCGTCATTTCTCCGCGTTTGCGATGGAGCTGGAAAAAGGAATCGGTGCACACTAATACAATTTTTTGATATTATCTAGTATTTTATGTGTACTACTATCATTTATTGTATTAAATCTACTTAAACTGCATTTTTGTATATATTGTAAGCACTTGATGCAGCAGCGGAACGTTTCGTCCACGACTGCGGTGGCCACCTGCGTCTAGCCAACCGTAACGCCAACCGGACCACGGTCTACCCGCCCTCTGTTATTCCAAGTCAATTACTTTCATTATTTAATTATACGTAAATATTAATGATACGTCAGGTACTTAAGTTTCTAGAAAAAGAGAGCATACCTAGTCGGAAAAACAGGCACAATAGGGATACAAGAAGTGCATTTCACGTTCAATTGTTTTATGAAAGTGTATGATGTATCTCAAATGTTTGTAACCAATGCAATCAGAAAGAACAGAACATCAGTATCTGGAATAAGTCAACCTGATGGGAGGGGGCATAGAGCGTTGAAAGACATTCTGATGATGTGATAGCCAAAGTAGTACAACATATTACATCTTTCCCAGCTTACGAATCGCACTATATTCGGCGTACTAACCAGAAAATGGATCTGCCGTCACACTTAAACATTCAATAAATGTACTCGCTTTATTGTAACAACATGAATCCTGTATTTAGGAAAATTTACTCTCATGAGGTTCACAAATTAAAACTAAGTTTTAAACTTCCACGAGTAGATATTTGTCACAGATGTGTTGTTTTAAATATCAAAATTAAAACCGCAACCAGTTCTGAAGAGATTAAACAATAAGAAGCCGAAATGATACAGCATCACAAATTGGATGATACTGCATTCAACCCAAAACATAATGACCAAGAACATGCCAAGCAACCCCCCCCCCCGCAATGAGAATCTTCCCATTCGACCTGCAACACTGTCTACCCACCCCATATGTCAACAACTCAGTGGGGCGCCATCTAAGCGCCAATTAAGGGCCTTCAATCTAACATTCTATAATCAGGCCACCGGAGAAGTCGCACCTTCTATGTAACACGACGGGGAAGATGGTCGCAGTGCAATCAAATCACAATTTGTTGGTATGAACAACTCATCGCCCTACCAGCAGATGTCCAGTGAAGTGTTGTACTTCGATGCATGGGGAGGCCAAAATAGGAACTCTCATGTGGCAGTAATGTATTTTACATTGATGCAGAATAAAGTTTCTTTAGACGTAATTGACTAAAAATTAATGATAAGTGGGCATAGTCACATGGAATGTGATGTTGACCATAGATTGATAGAAAAGCAGAAGAAGAAAACTGAATATCCAATTTAATTCCTTATGACTGCTTCCAACCAGTTCGAACAGTGGGGAAAAAGAAGAAATTTCTTGTGAAAGAAATGACTCGCGAATTTTTTTTAGATTTTGCATAATTGCTAGAATCTTGTCGTTCTCCGAAAAAAATACTCAACGGGCGAACCTTGTATATGGCAAAATGTTCAGATATATCAGAAACCCAGGAGAGATGTTATTCAAGAGCAGCTTGGACGAAAATGTCTCTTTCAAATCTTTGTCCTTATTAAGACGGAGTAACCTTAACCCAATTTTGAAGCCCTATCTGCTACCTGGAGAAATTCGTGCTTAGCCTGTTACTACTTATCAGTCCTGAGCTTCACGACTTTTACGGAAGCTTGAAAGTCAGTAGCACTGACGTTGACACCCTGCCAGACATAGAAGAATTTATTGAAACTTACATGAAACAAAAGATGTGACTGTAATACGTAGTATCGTAAAAGTAGCTCTAATACAGTGTTTTTCTTAAAAATAAGATAATTTGCTCTTCTCTCCTTTTTGGTCATAGTATATGTCAGTCTTGCTCGCACAATTTAGTTGGTACGAACAGTACAAGTCATTTTTTTTCACAGTTTTTTCACATAAGTAATTTTCCTTAATTTCCCTTTTAATAGTCAGAAATAAAGTGCAGAACTAATGCATGAGTTTTGTTTATTCACCATTTCATAATGTGAAACATTTTTTTCTCCTGAAAAAATGACATTTTTCGACCAATACTCTTATTCCCGCCCATCAAAGATATAATGAATATATCACAGCTTTCCTTTATTAATCGAAAGTTACGCAATTTGTGTTGTTTGAAATGCGCGGCTAGAATGGGAAAAGGACGATGGCGTCATGCGCAACTTGACAAGTTCGCGGGATATTTAAAAGCATTTATTGTCTCCGAAAGCAAAGTGATATGTGATTGTTAGAATGATTGTGACATTGAATTGGAAGTATTCAGTGTTTCTTATACCGGTATATGTACTTCAATGTATATGTACTGTAACACCTCCCGGCGTAGGGATACGCGCGGTTAGCGGCCCGGTTCTAGCTCAGTCGGTCCTATTCCCTTTACTCGTGTAAAAACTATCCAATTGTAACAATTTCCTTAACTTAAGATTCAGTGATGGAAGGCATTGTAAGTTAAAGCATGAATGGGCATT